TGCTATCAGATATTTAAAACCGAAAATTTAAATTGTCAACTAAAATATTTCAGGTTATCTGAACATAATGTAATATGTCTAGTTTTTGTTGATTCAGAAAAAGTCAATAAATTTTATGATGAAAATTCCGACCTTAATCGTTTTGAAATAGTTCAAACATATCAAAATTTACGTAATCGTTTGTTCTTATTTTCCCGGTATTAAATGAATATCTTTTTATATGATATAATGTAGCTCAGCAAAAACTAATATTTCGTTTGAATTTAATTGTTACAATTCTATCTGTAGTGATTGTTTAACAACTGGGTGCCTCTCTCATCCCTTTGGGACACGAACGTTTTGACAGAGGGAATATCAATGGCCGCGAGAATTTGTTTACATTATAAATTTATCTAGAGAACATCCGTCACTCGATACAGTACCCTATTCATCTTTAGTCAATAAACAAACACAGGCAGAATCGACAACTGTAAAAGTGGCTTCCGTCTAGCTTTTTCAGTCCTATCCGAAACACAAGTCCATAGTATTGACACAGACGGATGAAAACATTTGATCACCTCTAACAGTTTAGGCGTATAGAATAACATTTTGTTGACATTTCTAATAGAACAACATTTAATCAGGTTCCAGTGTAGCACCGCTACATAGATGCATGTCCATTTGTAACTTTCTCTTTCAATTAGCCCCTCTCTCACTGTTGACAAAAGTAATTGCTCGGCACTTGAAAATTGAAATGCCAAAAGGCGAATCAATGTGGTCAAGCGCCTGTCGCGTGTCAAACACATCTGCCTGACCAATAATTGAAAATCCTAGGGTAAACAACATTGTCATCCACGTATGCAATGTTTAATTATATCTTCTTTGCTACTTACATAACTAAACTTGCGGGCATATCGGTATCAGAAACATTGTCGTCCTATTTTTCTTTCCTCTCTGTGCCCTTTTTATTTCCAGCGAACTGACTTCCGGTACCTTTGTGTACCCCGCGTATCCGACAATGATTTACTGCGTAGGAAACTCTCGATCGATGTGTAGCCTGAAAGGTGTTTTTAAATGGCTACACTTCACAATAGGACGTAAAATTGGTGCCGTTTTTCATGTATCCGTTATACAAATATATCTCAATTCCTGACTCATTACAGAACTGTCTGCTTCAAAGTAAAATCAAAATAGAAAATCGATCAAACAAATAGAAACATTCAAAGAGATTGAAAAATAAAATAAAAATATATAAAATGAAATTGTGTTAAATATCACGTATCTATTGGTAACATATACTGATTATTTTTGAGACGTACTTAAATACAGTATGATCTTGTACATGTATTAGTGACAGAAAACCCTTGTTTTGATCTCTACAATCGACAGTATGATAGTGTCGCTACTGACAAACACTGGTGACAGAGTGAAAATATTTATAAACCGACCAGAATTAAGGTGATATGTAGTAGTTCTTTTCCTTAACTCGAGACCGCCTGTAACAGCAAAAACATACGCCCACCCGGATATGACGTTCTGACGCGTTTAGAGTCTAACGAGTAAACAAAGGAACAAAAACAAAAAATATTGAGAGATACGTTTTACAAAAAGATAAAAAAGAAAAGGTTTGCAGTAATTTTTGTTTTCGTTTTTGTTTTTTGTTTTTTTTGACGGAAGGTTTCAATTATTGTCTGAAAGGCTATACAATTGTCGGATTTTTTCTATCATTAATTAAATACGCATGGTTTCTGATTCATTAACCTTTATTATTTATATAGTTTAATTCTTTCATTTACAGAGAATTCATACTGGTGACAAGCCTTTCAAGTGTGAGATATGCAGCCGGGCTTTCCGTCAACCTGGAAACCTAACACGTCATCGCCTCACCCACACTACTGTCAAACCTTACGTGTGTCCACAGTGCAACAAGGCATTTAACAGAGCATCCAATTTGCATACGCACATGCGCACTCATACCAATTACAAACCATTTGTCTGTCCTTATTGCGGTAAAGGATTCCATCAAAAGATCGACATGAAAATCCACTGTTACACCCATACTGGTAAGTTTTTAACTTCCGGTTCCGGTAGATTTAATAAGAATACAGAATCAGGATAAAGATATAATATGAAGAATATATATAAAAAGACAGAGCAACAAACGTATTCATAAACATAATGTTAAAATGTGCATATATATATAGATATCTATAATGAATTTGATAAATAGAATCTCTAAATAAGAAACTTAAAAAACGAGAAAGTTTACTTGAAAAATGTAATATTCTAGTTATTGCATAGTCAAGTAACGAAAAATTACCGATCCATTTAGCGAAATCATAGTTGTCTCATTTAAATTTGAAATATCAAATTATTACAATAATATTATTGTTTTTTCGTGACTGAAAATAAATGTGACGTCATGAATATGTAACATGCTCACTTATCCCATTATTTTCTTTGTCTTTATCACTAAGTCGATTTTATTTTGTGTCTCACAGGAGAGCGACCACATCGATGTGATGTCTGCGGGAAGGGCTTTTCTCTCGCTAGTACTCTTAGCACGCATAAACGGATCCATTATGATGCGTCATATCCGGTCGACCATATGACCGGAAACGGAAGTTCTCAACGTAACTAGAATTAAGCTCTATTCATGGATGGAATAATTGATTATATTGTTTTCTATCCGCTGGGACAATTTCGCAATTGTTTGAATCACCGATTCTTTTTTCCATATGTAATAATATTGTAGAGGTATTGATATTTGTAAGGAAAGATGTGAAACCATCTAAAACCGGAAGGATGTGAAACCGAATTCTAAAACCGAAAGAAAATCAAACGTTTTTCATACAAAACGAAAATATTTTTTTATTTCATTTCAACACCTGTATTGTAAATATAATGTTTTCAATGTACACTCTTCTGACACTAATTTTCGTTGTTTAGACTTTTTCGCTCAGTGTGTGCTGATATATGCACTTGTGAATATATTGAAATGCCATCAAATGTGACCGGCCGCTATGTCAATAACTTGGAAATATTCACACTGTGAACTGTTAAAAAAAATAGAGAAAATGCAGCATATACTATCGCGATAATTATATGATAATATTAGCGAAGTTTCATTTTCATGTAAAGATTTGGAATATGAAGACATTTAATTGGTGCAGTGCTTTGTACAACCTATCTTATGGTATTGATCTATAGTGCAATATTAAGTTTATTTTTTTTTATTTAGGTGCTTGTTTATAACCATTAATTATTTCATTTTTGTGTTGTTAATTAATTAAATACTATATATGTTCAGTTCTGAACATAACATGTTGATTAATGTTAATGAGACAGTTATTCAGGTCTTTATGTCGGCAATGTCTATAGCTCAGTTGGTAGAACGACGGCTTATATAACCACGGCTGAAGATCCGTGGTGCGTGGTTGACATAAACTCTCCGCGGAAGTTTGTGGTTCTCAAGAATGGACCAGTTTGTGCGTTTGTGCTTGTATCCGTGGACAAGACATTATATCCTAATTACTATGGATGGTCCTATGTTGTTCAGTGAGAAAACCAACAGCTATTACAAGGATACCCCGCCTCAAAACGACCGTTCACACAGCGATAAAGCCAAGAAAAGAAGAATAGATTCCGTATTAATTAAAATCAGATCCGCGATACAGTGAATGTGTTACAGAGATTTTTAATTAATGATATATAATCAATTGACATTGCTCAGGTGTTGAAACTCTGTGTTGTGTTGTAAGTGTATAAGTTCAGTATTGTATTAGTTGTGTTATTTTAATGGCTGTTAAAATGAAATAAAATTCGTTATTGTGAATAAATTGTATTTCTTTTTTTTAATAAAGCAAAAGTAAAAAACAAAAAATTAACAAAAAGCGAAAGGTTTCATTTTGATGTAACGTCAACTTCTAATAGAATATCTCTCTCTCTCTCTAAGCAGCAGTCAAACGTGAAATTTGACCTTTTAACCTTGACCACATGTTTTAAAATGTAAATCTTAATGATGTAAAACTACGGTGTAAATATCGACTAAATCCAATGAGAGTTTCATAAAACACATATATCTTGTACAGAAGATTTTCATTCCATAGCGGTCCAGTCTGGACTTCTTTGACCTTTCAACTTTGACCGATACTGAGAAAGGTTCATCGTGTGCGGAACGTAATGACGAGATACTACTGTGTAAATTTGGTGATGCAATATGTTAAGGGATGTCAGTGAGGAGATCTACTGAAATAGCACCAACATGTAGAGACTTCACTGCAATAACTGCTCAATCCTAGGTGCGCAAACTGTTTATATCTAATAATCGAATGTCTCCAAATGTTGATTCTATGGCACGATCAATTTGGTAGTGTTTTTGCTGGTGTATTGCACGAGAAGTTTGGAAAAAATGTTGATGGTCTACGGCACGAGAGGTTTGGTAGTGTTGTTGATGGTCTACGGCACGAGAACTTTGGTAGTGTTGTTGATGGTCTATGACACGTGAGGTTTGGTAGTGTTGTTGATGGTCTATGGCACGTGAGGTTTGGTAGTGTTGTTGATGGTCTACGGCACGAGAGGTTTGGTAGTGTCGTTGATGGTCTACGGCACGTGAGGTTTGGTAGTGTTGTTGATGGCCTATGACACGAGAGGTTTGGTAGTATTGTTGATGGTCTATGGCACAAGAGGTTTGGTAGTGTTGTTGATGGTCTATGGCACGAGAGGTTTGGTAGTATTGTTGGTCTATGGCACGAGAGGTTTGGTAATGTTGTTGATGGTCTATGGCACGTGATGCTTGGTAGTGTTGTTGATGGTCTATGGCACGAGAACTTTGGTAGTGTTGTTGATGGTCTATGACACGTGAGGTTTGGTAGTGTTGTTGATGGTCTACGGCACGAGAGGTTTGGTAGTGTCGTTGATGATCTATGGCACGTGAGGTTTGGTAGTGTCGTTGATGGTCTATGGCAAAAGAACTTTGGTAGTGTTGTTGATGGTCTACGGCACGAGAGGTTTGGTAGTGTCTATTGGTAGTGTCGTTGATGGTCTATGGCACGAGAACTTTGGTAGTGTTGTTGATGGTCTATGACACGTGAGGTTTGGTAGTGTTGTTGATGGTCTATGGCACGTGAGGTTTGGTAGTGTTGTTGATGGTCTACGACACGAGAGGTTTGGTTGTGTCGTTGATGGTCTACGGCACGAGAGGTTTGGTAGTATTGTTGATGGTCTATGACACGTGATGTTTGGTAGTGTCGTTGATGATCTATGGCACGTGGGGTTTGGTAGTGTTGTTGATGGTCTATGGCACGTGAGGTTTGGTAGTGCTGTTGATGGTCTACGGCACGTGAGGTTTGGTAGTGTCGTTGATGATCTATGGCACAAGAGGTTTGGTAGTGTTGTTGATGGTCTATGGCACGAGAGGTTTGGTAGTGTTGTTGGTCTATGGCACGTGAGGTTTGGTAATGTTGTTGATGGTCTATGGCACGTGATGTTTGGTAGTGTTGATGATGGTCTATGACACGTGAGGTTTGGTAGTGTTGTTGATGGTCTATGGCACGTGAGGTTTGGTAGTGCTGTTGATGGTCTACGGCACGAGAGGTTTGGTAGTGTCGTTGATGATCTATGGCACGTGAGGTTTGGTAGTGTCGTTGATGGTCTATGGCACAAGAACTTTGGTAGTGTTGTTGATGGTCTATGACACGTGAGGTTTGGTAGTGTTGTTGATGGTCTATGGCACGTGATGTTTGGTAATGTTGTTGATGGTCTATAGCACGTGATGTTTGGTAGTGTTGTTGATGGTCTATGGCACGAGAACTTTGGTAGTGTTGTCGATGGTCTATGACACGTGAGGTTAGGTAGTGTTGTTGATGGTCTATGGCACGTGAGGTTTGGTAGTGTTGTTGATGGTCTACGGCACGAGAGGTTTGGAAGTGTCGTTGATGATCTATGGCACGTGAGGTTTGGTAGTGTCGTTGATGGTCTATGGCACGAAAACTTTGGTAGTGTTGTTGATGGTCTATGACACGTGAGGTTTGGTAGTGTTGTTGGTCTATGGCACGTGATGTTTGGTAATGTTGTTGATGGTCTATGGCACGTGAGGTTTGGTAGTGTTGTTGATGGCCTATGACACGTGAGGTTTGGTAGTGTTATTGATGGTCAAAGACACGTAAGGTTTGGTAGTGTTGTTGGTCTATGGCACGTGATGTTTGGTAATGTTGTTGATGGTCTATGGCACGTGAGGTTTGGTAGTGTTGTTGATGGCCTATGACACGTGAGGTTTGGTAGTGTTATTGATGGTCAAAGACACGTAAGGTTTGGTAGTGTTGTTGATGGTCTATGGCACGTGATGTTTGGTAATGTTGTTGATGGTCTATGGCACGTGAGGTTTGGTAGTGTTGTTGATGGCCTATGACACGTGAGGTTTGGTAGTGTTATTGATGGTCAAAGACACGTAAGGTTTGGTAGTGTTGTTGATGGTCTATGACACGTGAGGTTTGGTAGTGTTATTGATGGTCAAAGACACGTAAGGTTTGGTAGTGTTATTGATGGTCAAAGACACGTAAGGTTTGGTAGTGTTGTTGATGGTCTATGGCACGTGATGTTTGGTAATGTTGTTGATGGTCTATGGCACGTGAGGTTTGGTAGTGTTGTTGATGGCCTATGACACGTGAGGTTTGGTAGTGTTATTGATGGTCAAAGACACGTAAGGTTTGGTAGTGTTGTTGATGGTCTATGACACGTGAGGTTTGGTAGTGTTATTGATGGTCAAAGACACGTAAGGTTTGGTAGTGTTATTGATGGTCAAAGACACGTAAGGTTTGGTAGTGTTGTTGATGGTCTATGGCACGTGATGTTTGGTAATGTTGTTGATGGTCTATGGCACGTGAGGTTTGGTAGTGTTGTTGATGGCCTATGACACGTGAGGTTTGGTAGTGTTATTGATGGTCAAAGACACGTAAGGTTTGGTAGTGTTGTTGATGGTCTATGGCACGTGATGTTTGGTAGTGTTGTTGATGGTTTTGAGGTGGTATGGAATAACTTGAATGTTATATTCCAGACTTTAAACCATTTGTTTGTTGATTGATGTATTTGAGTTTTATCTGAGAAAGTTGTTTCGAGGTCATTTTTTTTAACTTTTTGGCTACTTCTAATCTCAATTCTTCATTTTCAAACTGAACATTATCATCTATGAGCTAGAACTCTGTGATGTTTTTATATGTCATTTGATTGATTTGAATGGTTGGTACATGAATTTGTCTTTTTTGTTTTGTTTTTGTGGGTTTTTTTTAATTAATTCTGCATCCGAAATGTTACTATAAGAACTTTGCCAAACATTCCCTGCTTTGATGAAATGTACCTTTTTTGTTTTTGTGATTACAGAATTTTATCATTGGTTTGGAAAATGGACAATACCCGTGGAAAATTTCTGAATTTGCCTCAGTTGAAGCATTTGAGTGATTTTGTCTGGCGTATTGAATTAACGTGCTCTTGAAAACAGTGGAAGACCCACTTACCATATTTATACTACTTTATTATTAAAGATGATCTAGGGCTTTGTCACCTGTATGGTGGCTTCCTGGATTCCTGGTGCCTTGCAGCCGTCATTTGGTCAACGTCAATGGGCAGATACCGTGATATTCGTATTCGTTTGGCCGGCATGTTCGGTTTGAAGGTGGGGAGGGGGCTGCGGACTAGCTCTCCAAGTATAATATTTAAACCAGAGCTGAACTTTAACATATTGACACTTAGACATGTATATCACTAGAGGTTAAGACAATTTAAAATATAAGTTAATTACTTCCGGTATAAAGGAGCTTAGATTATTTTACAATGGATGACGTCATTGTATCCTGTAGATGACGGCGTGCCTCGAGTAGTTATTAAGATAACAAGACAACGAGAAGAGTTCTAGTATCACAAAACATAAGCCTGATAAAAATGTTCACTGATTTTTTACTCAGCAAACTACATGTAGTTCTAACAGATATGGAAACGGATAAACATAAATTAACGGTCAAAGAAAGAAAATTCGAAAGTTTTTTTATGATAAATATCTTTTTAATACATATTCAAAAATCTATTCAAGAAATATTCAGATATCAATTTTTTATAATATACGTTTTTTTGTTTTTGTTTTTTTTTTCAAATACATTTTCAAACCCTTATTACGCAGGTCAAAATAACGTTAAGAAGTATAGATAGCTTAGTCGACCGTCATGACAAGAGATGGTAGAAATCTAAGCTTAGCTGGATTTTATCCTCTGATTAATATGAATTACAAACATGTTTACAAAATAAAAAAATAAATTTTACATTAATTTTACAACAATTGCGAAACAACTTATTCCAACATTTACTTATTGTGTTTATATAACACCCTTTCCGAAATATGAATCCGAGAATTAAGAGTATACACCATATCAACAAAACTTAACCCCAACAAAACTGTTGATTTTACAGAAATTTTCTTCAACCCACAGACAAAACAAAAAGACATAGAACCTTATCAAGACAAACTTTATAAATTGTACAATAATTTCAAACAATTTTTCAGTTGATATCAATCACTCTTGTTGGTCCCGGACGGAAGCGCGCGAGGGGTCTTACTGTGGGAGGAAATCGGAGTACCCAGTTAAAATCCACTAGGTCGGGCAGGTGACCCCATATCTTTCACTTCGTCTGTAGCGTTCAGTCATCATGTCGGAAAAATCAAGGGAAACTGAAGGGTAGATTTCAGGAGCTAAAACACACAGGTAGAGGCACTCAAACACGTGTCATTGGATAACATCCAAATGGAAAATATAAAACAGATTCACGAACTTATCACATTATCGGTCAGATCATATATAGAATTACAGTAACGAAGGATATATAGAAACAATGTTCGGCCTAGGATCATCTCTCAAATCTCTAAATATATGAAACCACTAATTTTTTTCAAGATATATCATCAGTTTTATCTACAGAAAATATCTATTTTATGTGTTGTTTTGGTTATCAGGGTCTCTGGTTCCGGTTTCCGTTGTGATACAAAATTCAGATGTAAAACTATATATAACGACAACCTGCCTGTACGGCCATTATCCCCTATTATGTTGAGTGACCTGTATAGACAGGATGGGCTTTGTTGCTGCTTTTTCATAAAAAAAACCCAATATTGTTATCAAAACACTTGGAAACTAAAACAAAAAAACAACTAATGTAGTGTAATTGTAACTGTACGACCACGCATTTCTTCACAAGAAAGTTATTCTTTCCTCAGAAAATATTTCACTACCAGTCTTTGAATCCCATTTCTTTCAGCCAAGCGTCTGGGTCGGCAACGGACAGTGTTGTGTTGTACTGTATAGTACGGAGTATCTTCAGCCGCTTTTTGTACCCAGCTGTCTTTTCTTGTTCTTCAGAGTCAATTATAAGCTTGATGAACTCCTCTACCTTTTGTTGAATTCCTTGTAGGCTGTTACTGGATTTAACAGTCGTTAAGATCAGAGAGATCAACTCTTCTAGCAAAGACACAAAAACTCGCTTGATGGCCAGTAGCATCGCATCAGCTGATACATCGTCTTTTACATCAAATTTGTATTTTGCTTTGATGCCTTCGTACGTTTTTGTCACCGTCACTGTCTTTTCTTCTATCCTAAATGTGTCGTTCCTGTGCATATGCCAGACACACTTTTGATGACAAACTGTACAATTTCCTTTCTTCATTGCTGCACATCTTACTTTGTCTTCGTCGTTGGTAAGTTTACAGGGAAAGTGGCATGTTGTGTGGCAGACGATGCAGTTGGTGACATATTTTCCTTGACCTAAACGTATTTTCTCTTGTAGGTATAGTACTTCATTGTACGTAAAGGCTTGGTTAAGTCCTATTTCGGCCTTAAACTTCTTCACAGTATCTCTGTCGCTTCTTGTTGCCACCAGGTCCATGACCTTATCCTTGATATCACAGCGATTTTTCTGCAAATCTATCATTTTCTCTTGTTTCTGATCATCGTGGGGGTTAGCTTGAAGTTTTGGTTTTGTCGTGAGTAGACAAGGGTTCATGGTTTGAAGATGTCGCAAAAAATCATCGAATCCTCTAGATCTGAATTGCCACAAAGCCTCCCCTAATAAAGCATCCTCAGTATACGGAGGGAAGAGTGTTGAATTATTGAAGACGAAGTGATGATGGTTTTTCAAATCAGTTGCTTGGAGGAAGTCCAGAACTGATGGCCTTTTCCCGTCAGCAAATGTAAGTATAGGAATAATGTTCTCCAGAACGTTTTCTCCAAATATTGACGTTATGCTTTCAATGACCTCATGCAAAGCCATATTGATACCGTGAGTGTGGATGGGGTTGGCCTGCATGACGAAACAAACGGCATGTACTCCACAACTCGGACCCATGTGACTGTCACTGGATAAGAAACGTCGGAGGCGTTCGAAGACCTCTTGGTTATTCTCAACTGATTCCGGCCCATCTTCGAGGCTTGGGGTGTCAATGATATTCAAAACACAGTCATTGTTTTCCATAATTGGATGCACTCTGTAACACGTGATCCATTTGGTATGTGACCGCTGAAAAAATTAATAATAAATTGAAAAATGAAGTATATACATGTAGTTGAATCTGATTGGATAACAAAAAAGGGTAAGAATGTCTGAGGTATGTCCGAGTCTAAAAACAATAATAATATACATGGTATATTTCAACAAATTGAGGAGTGTCATCCACTTGTTAATTTTAATTCTTTTGACCTTTTGAAAAATCTTTGTAATTAAAACGGTACAAACGAACTGTTTCAATCCCTTTCAAACCAATTAAAAGCTTTGAAAATTATATAACATTTACCTTCGTATACACAGATGTAACCGAGGTGAGGGAGTAAGCGGGGTAATGGTGGGGGGATGGGGGATTGATATCACAGTTTTCGTGTTTGGAGGATTTAACAGCCTTTATCTGGGAAACTATTTAGCTGACACCCGTAATGATGTTCTTCCAGAATGATTGTGATTTTGGGTTCCATACTACAGTTGTTCCAAATATAACCGATTAAAATTAATGATATTTCTTTCACTAATGATATAAGAAAGTTTATTTTACAGAACGCTGAATAAACCTAACAGGATATCATTCTTTGATGATTAAAACGTGATGATCAGAAGGATAAAACAGTCGATAAAACTACAAAGACTTAAATGATACGGGTTGTGCTACAGAAGTATGGTATGCCTAACAGCTAGCTCCCAAAGAAGGTATAATATATCTACTTTTTCGTCGTGGTAAGACTTGGCTATAATCCCCCAGATAAGGATGCCATATCTATATACATGCTGTCAGATTATGTTTTTTTTCTGGTTCAAATTTTGTAGTTTTTCGAATGAATACTAAATGGTTGATACTTCATTTCTTGGATAAATATTATTTACGAAATACACTAGTACCAAATTATTTCGCGGAAAAATGAATCAGTGGGTTGAGATTACCAACGAAAGTAAAGCTCGCGAATAGTACTGCTTTTACAGGACCTGGTTTGGAGGAGTCCCAGTATCATCAGTAATTTTGAATCTACAGTCGTCTTCCCATTTCACTCCAAGACTATGGTTGACAAGTCCATTAATGAGAGTACTTTTTCCCCCTTCGTTAGGACCAATCATCAAGATAGTCTTCTCCTGAAGGCAAGTTGAGTCTCCTTCAAAGAAAAATAACGGTGATGTGATAAATGATACGTCTTTTGCTCAATGACTGTAACTGTATACTAAGGGAGATAATTCAAATAAGAATTTACTTTGCGAAGAAAAAATAGATAGAAAAAAAAATCCCAAAATACTCGTTTGACACTGATTATTTTACAATACCTACATCAGTCGGGCTTTGAATACATTTGATACAGTATCAATATAAGCAATTAAGCATTGTTCTAAATTCTTCTCCTCCCTTGTTCAACCACTGCAAAATGGAAGTACATAACGTTGAAAATTATTCTTCACACTTTCAAAATTACCGAAAGTACACAGGCGGGTCTTTCGAACTTTGTCTTCTTTTGATCTCATCTCATCTAGGGGAAGTCTGTAAACGTTTGGTGGTCCATCATATATTTTTTCGCAGAGTTTAAGGACCGTGTTTAGTTCTGAAAATCTCGTTCGTACTTCCAAACTCTTGCAGCTAAATTCGCTGGTACTACCGTCTGCATATACAGCTCTTGACATGAATTCATATCCAGTGTTTTGAGACAATCCGCTAAAGCGATGAAATGGTCGCCTATTTTCCGTGGGAACCATTGTCTTATTCCAGGCACTGTCACCAATTTCTTTCATCCGAATTTCGTAATGTGTGACATCGTCTCTCCCGACCCTGACCCATTCCAGGCATATATGGTTAACGCCGATTTCGGATGCGCGAGGTTGACCAGGTCTAATGGAAGGCTCCGGTTCGGAGAGGAGATATAGGATATACTTCTATGAGACAAAAGAAAACAAGGTTTTCATCAAAATAATCTTATACTTGGAATGGTGTAAGTAAACGACTGCACAGTTAAATACAGTTGTCTTATTAACATGTGGCTTTACATATAACATCCTTACCAAGTATCGGAAGTGTAATGGTTGAACATTTCTGAAATAAAAAATTCAATCTAGATAATTGTTATCTAGTTCTGATATCAACTTTGACCAACTGGCCGCAGTCGCCTCCTAGATATCATCAATTTAGGCCCTTAGTATCACTGATGAGTCATAGAAGGACGAAACAGTTGTATGATGCAGTTTAATTCATTATCTTTCTCTATCTAATTATACATCAATATTACCAGGTGTTATTAACTTGTGTGCCTTTGTACAATATATAACTGTTATACATACACTCAATTTATATCACTGCTGGTAACTATATCAAAGGAGTTTGTAATTGATTATCAAACCTATATTATCCGTCTATCAAATTTAAGTACTCCCTAGCAAATGCCATTTAAAATATAGATTCAAAATACTTGTTAGTGGCTATGTTTAACATCTATTGAATTTCCAAATACATAAATATATAATAGTGTCTTTGAGGAACTCTCCTCAAAATCAAACTCAAAAGGCTGATGATTGTCCTGGTTATGTATATATTTATCTAACCCGTAAACGTGGCATGGCTAATGACAATAAGCAATAAGCGTGACTCCAAAGTTTCCTACCAATCCTTGCAGTTGTATTTGTGGTATAAATGTAATTAATAATATGAAAAAAATCCGGTAAAAATATTTAATATATATCATTACAATTGTATATGAAATCATAAACATATCTATTTTTAAAGACAGAAAACTGTCATGTACCAAAAAAATATTGATTTCAATGGATTATCTACATGTAATTCACCTGTGACCTTTAGTGACCTATATATTGACCTTTGGCATAATTTGACATTGAAGCAAGACCTACAAATAGAGACTATACAATTTTGACGGGTAATGATGAAATGAAATTATATTCAATAACGCATAAATTTGGGCCATGGAAGTCGCTTAACTTACCCTAAGGAAATGAAACGCGCCAAGCAGATAAACTTTGAACGATAGCATCTTATCCCGAAACTTGACAGCAATAGAACCCTGATGTGCTTGATCCATGGTTAGAGCTGTCCTGGTATCGAGCTTCTTCTACCTTTGGAAAAATTATAAGTCTTTATTCAAATTGATAAGTGTAATTATACACGGGAATTTGTGGATAAAAAATGAAGATATTTGATCATCTTCTGTGGATTATAAAACTTAATATCAATCAAGATAAAGATTTATCATACTACTGCCATGTGTACAACTATTTGGATTCGAAAGAGGTTCCCGAGAGGTTTCGTGACATAAAGGGTACTTTAGAAAAATTAAAAACAGTTAATATGAAACATGGCGGAGTATTTATTAAGTAAAACAATATTCACCAGTTATAGTTTCTATTTGTCTTCCGATGATTTAAAATAGATACAACACGTGAAACAATTTTATGTCTGAATTGTCCAGGACCAATATATGACAATAAAGATAGTATCTGACTTCTCTCCAAGAGTTGTCGTTCTTGAAGTATAAAACATCTCAATCAGAGTTGTCTTTCTTGAAGTCCGTAATGCATTGATTGTTTATATACAAATGTTGTGTAATGTTTTGCTTAAAAAAGAGAGTGTACATGTAAAAAGATATTAAAGCACGGGACAAGACTACGATGAAACAAATGACAAAACTGTTAGGATGTTATATAATGTAGTTTTGAAAATAAAAATGACAAATTGTCGAAATTACAGAAACTTTCACTGACTCCGAACACCAAAAAGAAAGTAAAATGGATCATACTAAATCAATAAACATGTTGACCTTTGACCTTTACTTTGGTAAAATTCTATCTTTACATACAGAAAAGGAAACATTGAATCTTTTTTTTAACGCTACACATCTCCTATATAGCTATCTTTGAGATCACAGAACAAATAATTATAAACATCAGTTGCAGAATTTGATTTCGCAGTTCCTCCATTACAAAGTACATTTCATACACACATTTTGTCATTCATTCACTTAATCTGTTTCTGGAAACTCCGAGTAAGTTATTGATGAAAGAATCTTCTTATAGTACCTTAAACTTCAATTGTTACATAAACACTTGTTTAAAATGCAAACAGAATAAGTTTCCAAATTTCTGAGACATTTCTTTGGCACACATGAAACATTGGAAACCGATTAGCTATCACGTGCCATCTCTTAAACATCCAGCGAACAATCAGGCACTGTGTTAAAACTAGCCCAAAATATCTTTATATTTTCCAGAATTGAGAAATCAATCTTACAATAGTAAAAGTAAGTACTACGGGGAATCGTCTTTACTATCCGTTATTGTTTAGGTATTATATACATATTTCTGGTAAACATGTCGCTGATATGTGTGTATATTATAGCAAAGGAATAAATAACAAAAACGAAATGAACTTAGCAAATAATCCTTTTGGAATCTTAATTAACTTGTATTTAAATAACGCTATTTTCCCCGTCTTTATTTCTCATGTTTATTCTTCTGCACATTCTTACTTACATTTCATCATTAAAGGAAAGGTTCATTTTGGTGTATATCTTAGTCTCATTAAACAAAACCATAACCAACTGACTATTTTGTTTTCCACGTAAAAGAGCTCCTGCCTGAAACAACCCATCGTACTTAAATTTGGTTGAATAAGTCGTCAAACTTCCAGCTTACCAAGGAAATCTAAAGCAACGAGATCTAACACGCCTATACTGATCTAACCTTAATTAAGTGTTAGCCATCCAGAACCTAGGAAAACAATAAGGATATGTTCACCTACAGAACGACGCTTAAAATGAGATTTCAACTTGTATTTTTTATTTTTTTTCGGTCCATGGGAAGACATTAAAAGATGACAATTGTATTACGATTACTCCATCCAATTATACTTAAAGGCTACCCACTACGCTACAACATTGTTTAGGAGAGTGATTTCGGGGTCCTAAACCCAGCACTACCCATGTTACAGTAATTTATTTGAAGATCTGAGCGTAGACAATCATTTCGATATAGCATTGAATCTAAACATTACATGTTTTTAGAAAACATCTTGTTGAATAGTCAGAAATATAATGACTATTTTTCAGAATAGTTGTTAGAAGCAAAATGACTGGGACCCGGGAATGGTTCGAAAACATTTTTTTTCTCAAATTTTTATCTATTTTGTCTTTTATTTTATATTTTTTATCTTTAGATACAGATATAAAAGAAAATTCAAATGTTTTCACTTTGTCTGATTAAGAGCATGTGATTATAGAAGTTGGACTGTCAAAATGTTTCTGAATGTCACGAAGTAACGTCCAAAACATTTCGAAGCACGATAAAGATTCAAAACCACAAATAGAAAAAAAATTCTTATTCCATCTTTAGATATTTTCTAATTGATGTAGTAATGTTATTTTGACATATTATTTTAATATATGTGCTATATGCATTTGTTATTGTTTCAATATTATCGTTAGGCGTTCGCGGGTCAGAACCGGAAGTCAGCCTTTCGTATTATTCGGTACGTGGCGCATTGCGACATGGATTTTAGCGCGCTCGCGAATATGGCACGTGAAAGTGAGAGTGGAGCGCGAGATGGATGTGACGTTTGTATTTGTAAACCAGTTTGTTCAGTCTGTCTTATCAATTATTAGTATATTTATGGGGGATATTGGGTGATCTGGGAGCGTAGTGGTCATTTTGGGCGGAGCGGCCGATGCGGCAACATCAATAAGTTACCTAGTCATAATTGCTATTTGTGGGACACTAGCTATAGGAGTAATGTAAGTACCCGATACTAAGTATGTAACTATAAGTATAATTTAATATAGTATCTATTTAAAGCCCCAATATACGTAAAAATCACTATGAAAAAAAAAAAATTATCTTATTTTCCCCGTAACACATGTAACAAAACAAATACTTTCCTTTAATAAAAGAAAATAAAGCTGACTGTTTTCAATTTAAATAAAAATTGAAAAAATCGGAAAATAAACAATGTGGGACCCACAATAATTCATACATTACCGCTCGTAGCGATGACATTGCGCATGCGCATATTCCGCGTGTGTAAACATGGCAGACACAGTACAGACGTTCACAAGTCGCTTCCTTTTTTTCCGATTATACATCAGGCCAGTTCTGAATTCTTACGTTATAATTGTGCGTCGTATCGTTTCTAAACTAATTGTTCTTTCTAATAATTTCCCAAAAACTGAATGTTAATCACAGGAATACCTCCAGTCTACGACAAGACTTCGCAAACAATGCTTGTAAACAAAAACTTACCGAATAAGTAGAAACCTCAATTCTCGCGAGATCAGGTCATGAACTTTCCGATGTGTTCGACAACAATCGTAATTTCGATGGCGGCGTGTTTAAAATGGAGGTGTGTTTACAAATAGCGAGTTTCAACTGCTCATATATCAATACTTTATGCACAAAGTCATGGTAACTATTGTTTGAATCACTTAATTTTAACTACATCTTAGAGAATATCTCAATAATTATGTGTGATTCTACACTAAATTTTTGGTGAATGTTACGTATACTGGGGCTTTAATAATATATTTAATTTACGTAATAGTTTTGTTTCAAGTAAAAGTAAATGTTTTCGGAATCGAGTAAATTCAAATATTGGGTGTAATCAATTTACATTTTGTAATACGCGCATAGGTCTATAGTTTTAAAGAAGAAGACTTTCATGTGTATCGTACTTTCCTTTTGTATAGTGTAAGCTTCGAGCCAGAATTGGTGCTCGGCGGACTTCGCCCGGGAAAAAACCTTCTTCGCATTGAAGAGGTGGGTATTTTATGTGTATTAATGTCTAATATTATATATTCGTTAATATATAATTAAGCTGTAATTTCTGTATAATTTATAGGAATGTAGTTAACAGTGTAATTGTTTAATTAGTAACTGACTACAATCAGGATGACATTCATTGATTGTGTGATATTCTTAGTGTGTAATAGGTGTAATTCGTAGTAATATATATTGTATCTGTTGCAGGTTTTTTTTTTTATTACTATCTGAAAATAAACGCTTAAACGAACCCTCGGAGTTGTGGTTTTGGTATGCGAAGAAGCATGACTACTACATTGAAAAAATAAAACAAATAAAACTTACCTGGCCAAGCTTCTTCTTCACTGTTCAGATGGATCGCTATAAATACCTAACACGCGCCTATCGTATGGCTATATATATATCAAAGGTTCTGAAGTTCCGAGAAAATTTAAATCGGGGACATAAAATCAGTTTAAAAAATCTACTGTTGACATTTTCGGTATACGAATTCCTTTTGAGAAAAAAATAATGAGCCTACCTAGCCATGTCGACTTCCTGCACCACACGGATCTGTTATTTGGCTAGTCCTGCCAAAAACTCGTAAATTCCGAGAAAACGCAATTCGGGAACATAAACGCTATTTTTAGCTTTCTTCAGATTGAATCTAATATTTCGTGTTGAAACTTGAGTTTATTTGGTAAATGTTACAAGTTTATCTTATTAGCTATAAAATATGCAGTAAAAACAAATAAAAATATATAATTATACATCTCTGTAGTGTAATGAGTGCGTTAACATCTTTGTTTACATTTCTATAAGTACAATGTATGTATGTACTCGATTTTTCTTGATTTCAAATTGTTTATAAGAAATAACAGACAAATTGTTTGATATACCGGCACATATGCCTTCAGAAATCACTAAAACTAGATTGTACAGCCACGTTTTAACTACAAACTCATTTCTTTCAAAAGGAAGCTAATAGATTGTCCTCCCTGTAACCTCTAACTCTAAGAGGGAAACTATTCTAAACTCATTTTGAAAATGAGATCAATTTCAAAACCTGACTCAAAGACTAGATATGTTGTCGGAGTCTTTATTCATATCAGTTTACACTAAATAAACAAATGTTTCTGTTTGGTAACAACAATAATAATATTCCACTATATTGTCACTATAAAAAAGAAGTAAGATTCTTTTTCGTTTCTACGGAAGCATATTCCGGTTGTGTTTTATTTTATCTCAAAATTTAGAGATAGCAACTCGAAACCTTGTGTTAGTAATTCGAAATTTT